CGTGCAGTCCTTGTCCGAATTGAGGCCTTGGAGGCCATATGCTATGCTTTGACTGGTGTTTGGGGCCTGACGGCCGGTCGAGTTGTGGATGAGCACCCGGAGGGTCGTCCTCAGCCAGGTGCAGAGGCTGAAAGCCAGTCACTTCAGATCAAATGGATTGAACAGAATGTTTGCCTGCTCCAAGAATGCTCAGGTATCCAGCCACTGATGGACTGCCTATGCTGTGTCTTTGAGAGGCACCGCAGTTCCTCCGCACCGGACGCGGACAGCACGGCACAAGAAGGCGCCAACCCTGCCTATGTTGCTGCTCTGGAGAGAGAAGCAAATCTGGTGTTGACGGCTCTTTATTTGTCTGTGGAAGTCGGCCGCAAGCAAGACGCTCTTGATACCCGGAATGCCCCTTTGAGAGATACTCTCATGAGTCTGGAGCCCAATCTGCTTGTGTTCCTGGTGGAAATCATTGCGCGGTTGCGTTGGGACGACTCTGCCAATGTTCCGCTGACCAGAGTCATTCTTCTATTTTGGAAGTCTTTGCTGCTTTTCTTCGGAGGCACTGATAAATTGAAGGAGGCCAAGGAAGCACTGGAGCCGACCCTCGAGGCAAGAAAAACAGCCACTAATCGAAGGACCCCTTTCCTCACTGCCTCGCCCTTGGATTACCACAACTTTCGACAGGAGATCACATCCAAGTATCCTGCATATAATCCGCCACCTCCTGTGGTCCCCCTAGAGCTAGAAAATAATTCGATTCTTCCCCCACTCCCGCAACATCCCAGCAGGATCGGCTCTTCTGCGGGTCCCTTCTCTGGAGTTGGCCCTTCCGTGGCGGGTGGCAGTGGTTCAATCATCCATCACCCAGTCCACATCGCTACCCCGGCACCCTCTCCTCCACCGTCGCCCATCGGCCCTGGCGGCAAAGCGGGGAAGAAGCAAAATTACCAGACAAACCAGAACTTTCCTTTCATGTACCCTCCTCTAGATGATTCAAGTAATGACCTCGGAGGCAAGGGCACCACAGAGCTGCAAGATAATCTCGTGGGAAAGAAGTGGCAGGGCAGTGATGTTCCGGCGTCCATCATCGAGGCTGGGAGGCTGTTCTCAACCCATGTCAAGATGACAAGGGCGATGCGGCAACTCTGGGAAGAACGAGAGCGTTTCATGAAATACGACCGCGGCTGGTATCCCGATGAAAACCAGCTTCTTTTGAACGAGAACGCCCTTGGTGGATTGGCAGATGAGCTGCAAGATTTGAATGTCTCCGAGAAGAGGCCTAGTACTGATAGCACACCGAAAGAGGAAACTGAGAATGCGGATATTCAGCAACGCCTGGATGCCGTTGAATCGTTCTACGTGAGTTTACGTGGTGCCCCAGGAGACGGAACAACTACTTACGACTCGCAGAGACAAGCACTGGTGCATCTACAGTCTATAACGATTGTCTTTCTGAAGATAATCCTAACGAATGTTAGCGCCATGGTGAGCCAGGCCAATGGACAAGCTGCGCAGGCCATGGGGTATGTGATACACCTGTAATTCCCATTGCCTAGCATATACTGATGCCTCATATGTAGTGATGGTTATGGATCGGTGATCAATGGGTTCCCAGCCAATCATATCAACGGGCATATTGATCTTAATTCCGAAGCTGCCATCGACGAGCTCGACAACATTCGACTCCGGGAAATCACCGGAAAAGCGATCTCCGGATCTCTGTTATTGCTCGTCAAGTGGTTCAAGAGATCTCGTAAGCTACTCCGATCTGAATGTTGTGGAAGAAAGTGCTAATAGGCCCCAGATATCTTGAAGTTCGAGTATATGACGCAGTTGTTACTCGACTCCAACTACCTGCCGTTGATTCTGAAGATGTTTGCCCACCAGGATGTGGATCAGGCAGTAGCGCAGAAGAATGACCGAGAGGAACTGGGGTAGGTGCTCCTCTGAAACAGCTATCTAGATATACTAACAAAAACGAAGCTTCTTCCGGTTTTGCCATATCCACTCGAACCAACCGCCGGAATCGACAACCGACCTGGATGAGGACTCCTCACCTAGTGACGACGAAGCTGTCCCTCCGCCCATCACCCGACATCGCCAGGACACAGGCAATTCAGTACGCGGAGTGTCGCCCGAAGTATCTGTTCCTGAGTTTATGGAAGGGCCTCACCGTCCGGAAGTTGACGAGCTAGGCTACCCTACAGCTCCCCCACCTAAGGAGCCGATTACCGTGTTCTCATTCCGCAACTTTTTCTCAGCGATCAATTACCTCCACATCATGCAGAAGATCACCCGCGACAAGGCCCATCGATGCCTCCTCCTGGTGCAGTACAAGTCAAGCACTATCCTTCGCAAAGGGCTCAAGATCCCCGATCCGCACTTGCGGTTCTACACGCTCAAGCTCTTCAAATCACAGGTGCCTTACTGTGGACGCAAATGGCGACAGAGTAATATGCGGGTGATCACGGCGATCTATCTGTACTGCCGACCAGAGCTCCGCGACGACTGGCTATCTGGCGGAGACATCGACTCGGAGGTGGAAGAAGCACTGCCACTGGAGCAGGCACTGCGCGGACTGACGCACTGGTGGCATCTGCGCCGGTACAAGGACGTGATGGGAGGTGAAGAAGGCGCATCCATGATGGAAGAAGAGCGGGATTTCTTCGTGCGGGAGCTCGAAGCAATGGGATGGGGCATGGCAGGCGAAGAATCCTTTGGAGGCAGCGACGACGCTGAGATGGGCGGGCCTATGGTGAACGGAACGGGGACCGAATGGGACGGAGCTCCACTGCAAATGGAAGGATGGTAATCCTACTACCACAGCCTATGATATTTATTAGACCTGGTACATACGATAGACGTTAACGTTATGTGATGAATGAACAATACCCCAATTGCACAACACTCTTTTCTACACAGATTCCTGCGTTACAACTCATATATTAGCATTTGCAATGTTTTGAATGGATGAACAGACAGACCATCCTTATCGATAAGCAGCCCAGTGGACCCCCACGTGACCAATCACTGCGGCAACTTTTTTTCTGCGGCAGAAATCATCACCTTGACGGCCAAGCAGCACCTCCCTCTTTCCTTTCCTCCCCAGCGAAACCAAGTTTAACTGTAGCGGGGATAAAACCAATCCACCGCGAGAAGTATCTGGCAAGATGTCGTCCGACGAAATTGTCTGGCAGGTTATTAACCAGCAATTCTGCGCCTACAAGCTCAAGTAAGTCTCTACTATCCATCCGCGCTATAAAAAAAAATTTCCGCCTACCACATACATCACAACCAGAGCCGCCAGAGAAAAGAGAGAAAATAGTCCACAAGTATATTAAATAAAAGCTAATCGCCATTTTTTTCTTTCTGGAATAGAACTACCAAGAACCAAAACTTCTGCCGAAATGAATACAACGTTAGCGGACTTTGCAACCGGCAATCGTGCCCGCTCGCCAACTCGCGGTACGCCACGATCCGGTCAGACCCCGAAACAGGCGCGATGTACCTGTACATGAAGACGGTGGAACGGGCGCACATGCCCAGCAAATGGTGGGAGCGGATACGATTGTCTTCGAACTACGCGAAGGCGCTGGAGCAGTTGGACGAGCGGCTGATCTACTGGCCGAAGTTCCTGGTGCATAAGTGCAAGCAGCGTCTGACGCGGTTGACGCAGGTTGCGATTCGGATGAAGAAGTTGGCTAAGGAGGACGAGAGGCTTGGGGAGAAGGTGGTGACGAAGTTGGCGCCGAAGATTCGGCGGAGAGAGGAGGCGAGGGAACGCAAGGCGGAGAGTGCGGCAAAGATTGAGAGGGCGATCGAGCGGGAGCTGATTGAGCGGTTGAGGAGTGGTGCTTATGGAGATCGGCCGTTGAATGTTGAGGAGGGGATCTGGAAGAAGGTGTTGCGTGGGTTGGAGAGGAGTGGAGAGGGTGAGAGGGATGAGGATCTTGATGATGGGGAGGAGATTGAGTTCGAGGATGAGGAGGAAGAGGAGGAGGGTGTTGGTCAGGTCGAGTATGTTAGTGATATTGATGAGGATGAGGAGGATCTGGAGGATATTGAGGATTGGATTGGTGAGGGGTCTGGAGACTCCAGTGACGATTATGATGATGAGAGCGATGAGGAGGAGGACAGTGATGAGGATGATGAGGATGACAGCCATCACTCTGATGAGGAGGCTAAGAAGCCTGCGCCTGGATTCAAGCGGAAGCGTCCTGCTCCTCAGATTAAGCCGAGGAAGAAGGGTCCCCGTGTTGAGATCGAGTACGAGACCGAGGGTGCTGGTAAGGAGAGCATCATGGCTTGAAGGGAGTGAGACATTGAACATAAAAGCACGGGTTCCTGTTGATGTTGATGTTGCTGCTGCTGCTTTCGTGTACTGTATGGCGTTGTCTGGTTTAGAGTTGTTTTGTGTCTGTTATTACTGTTGCTCTGCTGCGATCGGGCATGCATACCCCGCCATTGCATATATGAATTTACTGTTCACCAAAGTCCTGGTCTGCGACATTAGACTATGTACATCACAACTACATGAAGGTCAGAAACCAATTTACAAATGTTGCGACAAGATCCACCAGTTGGCCGTGTCAGATGGTGAAGGAAAGAAAGAAACCGACTGGAGCAGCTCACGTGCAGCGGGGGAAGTGAAACCGAGTGGATCGCCAACAACCGCCGTAAGGTCAATCAATCAATCAATGTCAAACCTCCCCTAAGGGGTTGCACCAATACCTCCTGATCACCCTTCTACACGCTGGTCGGCTCGAGATACCGTGTTCAATAACACCTTAATTCCTCACCGCTGCAGCTAATTCTCTCGGCTCTTGTTTCGCCCCGCGGACCAGCATCAGCCTCTCGTGTCCTGAACCCCCCGATAACCGCGGACCCCACCTAAGCAACTCACCTCCTTTTGAGAGACCCCATCTCCGACCAGCCAGGGGGAACCTGCACAAAACAAACCAGAATCACAAGAAGAAAACGAACGAAGAAGGAGAACAAGAATCACCATCATGTTCTCATCCCTGACCTCATCCTCCGCCATCTCGAACCTAGGCACGCGGCTCACCTCCCTCCGACGAGCCATCACCCTAGGCGATGAAGCCGACGATCCAGACAACGAAGACTGCTCGCACATTTCCAACGTGCTGCGCGCCTACTACACGGAGAAAGGACGGCCCTTCCCGAACTGGCTGCCCCCCGATCCGAAAGCGCCAACACCAGCGCCGGCACGGGTCATCGCGACGACACAAGTGCAGGCCGGAGGAGCAGCCGGCGGCGGCGGTGGTCCAGCAGCATCGGCGTATGGACGCAGCGGAGGCGGCGGATTGGGAGACTTGTGGGGAGATTCGGGTTCAACGACGGCGCCGGCCTCGCAGACGGCCAGTCTGCGTCGAGGTCGGTTGACACCCGGCAGTGGTGGAAACATGGGGGCGCCTCTAGCCGCCACGGCCAGCGCACCGTCGGGGATGATTGCATCACCGCATAGTCCGTCACCTGGTGCAGGTGTGCCGACCGGGTCAGCGAGACCGCTGCCTAGCCAGCGAGCCGGGTCGTATCAGACGATCTCGGGCCCAGTCACAGGTGGAGGGCTAGAGCGAGCGGCGTCGGCCCAAGAAAGACTGCGAGCTAGATTACATGGGGGCCGGTCTCCCAGTCCCGGGCAGAATCCGGGCAGTTCTAGTGGTAGTCGGCCGGGTTCGCCATATGTTGGAGGGGGAGCGGATCCTAGTGCACGAAAACCGGTAGGCATGCCGGGAAGACGATAATGGTCGGGCAGGATTTTTTTTTTTTTGCTTTTTTAGTTTCGTTTACGTTTAGGCTAATTTACTTTTTACTCCATTTACGGAGTACGCCGTACTACCTTGGGCTGGGGTGGTGGTGTGTGGGGGAAAACGAAGGGGGCAAGGAAGAGGAATTAGTGGCTGCAGGGGCTCATTGCAAGATGGGGACTGCTGGTTAGTGTCTTGTCTTGTGGTAATTCGGATGGAGTCCGCGGAATGGGGGAAAAAGGGCGGGATGATGAAGTTGAAGAGGGAGAAGGAAAGAGGAAAGAGAGGAGCAAAGAGGAGGAAGCTAATCTATCTTAGTGGACTGGACTTTTCCATGGTTTTCGTTGTCATGGGACTTGGGACTGGGACTCTGGGAGTTGTTCCTGCTTTTGTCTTCTCTGGTTGAGCCTTCGTGTACCTTACCTTTATCTTCAGGTCTCAAGATGAGAGACTATAATATAAACTCTGTATTATGCCACAAGCTTTTCCTTCTTACCAGTAAAACCATGTTTCCTTCCCGTGCCGTCTTGGCTGTCCATCGAATTGCTTGTTGCTTGATGGCATTGCTTGAGTGAGGTAAGAAAAAGCTGGGCGTAAACATTCTTCCCTTGGCCAGGAAGGCCTTTTTGCCGGGGGGAAATAGAAGTGGGGAAGGGCATCCAGACCATGCTTTTGACTTTTTACTTTTCCCTTCCTTCTTTGCGTTTCGCTTCAGCCCGGGGCGCGTGTTGTCACGGCCCAGCAAGAAGTTAAGACTAGTGTCGGGGGTGTAGGGGAAAGTTAACGAATGAGGGACTCGGGCTTGTGGAGAGTTGAACGGGGAACGGGGAAGAGGATTGGAACCTTTGGGGGGAAGGAAAGGAAGAAATCGGAGTAAGATAGCGAGACCAGTCAGAGATTATGGGGAATCGACACTAAGTTGTAACAGTATGGAGTACTCTGTCAGTAGTGTAAAGAGTCACGGGGCCCCGAAAAGAGAGAAAGTGGAATAAATGGCGCAACTACAAAGTAGACTACCCCACGAGGCTAACCAGAATAAGCGTATGGTGGTATTTTTCAATGAACGATGACTGGTCAGAGTATCGCCGAGAATCCACCGGCTTAGGTAATGGGTGCTGCCCACGGGGAAATTGTCTCCTCCGCTTCTCTTCTGGGGAAGAATCAGCATCGCAGACATTCCTTCCATTCCACTCATTCCATCGGGTTGTTGCTTAATGGTCAGACATCTTTGCTGCTGCTGCTGATTCTGTTTAGCTGCCCATCATGCCGTTCCCCACCTCTGCATCTTCCCTTCCTTTTCCTTTTCTTTTCTCCCTCCCCCGGCTGGCCCTCGCGTGGTCGGCTTCCCTGACTGGTTCCACGGCCCGATACTAACGAGTCAAACCCGGTCCTCATGATGGGTCCTGCTTCTTTTCTGACTTTTTCTTTTTTCCCTCTCTCTCTCTTCATTACGCCGATGACGCTTCTGGGGAATGATGAGGTAGTAGTCAGTCTGAGTCGTACGTAGTTGTAGTTGGAGAAGGAGGAGGAGGAGGCCTATGGGCCGATATGTGTGCCCTTTAAATACCCCCCTTCTGGCATTCCCCAGATATTTCTACCTCTTTCTCTTCTCCTTTCTGCGTGTGTCTCTATCCCCACCTTATCTATCTCTCTTCTATACAGAAGATCCTTGCCCCGGTAGTGGGAGGTATCTTCTCTCTCTTTACTCACACCCTCTCTCCCACCCGCAAAGAGAGTTGAATAACCCGCCCCTCCCACATGCTCTTTTAGCCCTGATTGTACCTCTCTTGTACATATCATAAAGAAGTCACTTCCCTCTAATATCACAAGCGGCTGTCACACCGCACTTTCCATTTCCAATCATGGGTGTCGTACACGACCTGGACACCTCCCATGATGACCACAAGGAGGGAACCGCCTTGGAGATGGACGATGTCCTCAAGGACCCCAAGGCCATCGAGGAATTTAACGAAGCTGCCATGGATGCAGAGTTGCTGCAGCTCGAGGAGCAGCTGCAAGGCAGGAAGCCCTCTTGGTTCGTGGGCTTCTCCAACCCATCTGTGTATACCTATGTCCTAGTGGCCTTTGCCTCCATGGGTGGTCTACTCTCCGGTCTGGACCAGTCTCTGATCAGTGGTGCCAACATCTACCTGCCCGATGCATTGCACCTTAATGACAACCAAAGTAGTCTTGTGGATGCTGGTATGCCTCTGGGTGCCGTGGCCGGTGCCCTCATCCTCTCCCCCGCCAACGAGTACTTGGGTCGTCGCATGGCCATCATCGTCTCCTGCATCTTGTATACCATCGGTGCCGCCTTGGAGGCCGGCGCCATCAGCTTCGGAATGATCTTTGCTGGACGTTTCGTGCTCGGTATGGGTGTGGGTCTGGAAGGTGGTACAGTCCCTGTGTATGTCGCCGAGTCTGGTATGTCCTTCACCCCTTACTTCCTTTTTACATCACCATCATCGACTAACGTCACTCCAGTACCCCGCAAGATGCGTGGTAACCTGGTCTCACTGTACCAATTGAACATCGCTCTCGGAGAAGTCCTGGGTTATGCCGTGGCCGCCATCTTCCTCGACGTCAAGGGTAACTGGCGTTACATCCTGGGATCATCCCTGGTGTTCTCGACCATTCTGCTGGTGGGTATGATCTTCCTGCCCGAGAGTCCCCGTTACCTCATGCACAAGGGCCGGCCCGTGGAAGCCTATGGCGTGTGGAAGCGAATCCGCGGGTTCAACGACTACGACGCCAAGGACGAGTTCCTGGGCATGCGCCAGGCCGTGGAGGCCGAGCGCGAAGAACAAGCCGCTACCAAGAAGTACGCCTGGATGGACTTCATCACGGTGCCGCGCGCCCGTCGCGCCATGATCTACGCCAACATCATGGTCTTCCTTGGCCAGTTCACCGGTGTCAACGCCATCATGTACTACATGAGCACACTGATGGGCGCCATCGGCTTCGACGAGCGCCAGAGTGTCTTCATGTCTTTGGTCGGTGGTGGCTCCCTCCTGATCGGCACCATCCCAGCGGTGTTGTACATGGAGCGCTTCGGCCGCCGCTACTGGGCCAACGCGATGCTCCCCGGCTTCTTCATCGGCTTAGTGCTGGTCGGCATTGGCTACCAGATCAACTACCAGACCCACCCCAAAGCCGCCCAGGGCATCTACCTCACCGGTATCGTCCTCTACCAGGCCTTCTTTGGCTCCTACGCCTGTCTCACCTGGGTCGTGCCCGCCGAGGTCTTCCCCACTTATCTGCGTAGTTACGGCATGACCACCGCCGACGCCAACCTCTTCCTCTGCTCCTTCATCGTCACCTACAACTTCACCCGCATGATGAACTCCATGACCCGTATCGGTCTGACCCTGGGCTTCTACGGTGGTATTGCTTTCCTCGGCTGGATCTACCAGATCATTTTCATGCCCGAGACGAAGAACAAGTCTCTCGAGGAAATCGATGAGCTTTTCTCCCGTCCCACTTCTGCTATTGTCAAGGAGAATCTGAAGAGTACGGGTGAGGTCATTGATGATTTGTTCCACTTGCGCTTTAAGAAGGTGTTTTCGCCCCCGCCAAAGGAGGACTAATTGATTGATTGATTGATTCATCGGTTGGGAGTAGTAGTACTTTCCGTCCATGAGGTTGAGTTGATTGGTCAATGTGGATGATGTATATGTTTATGATTAATATAGGATGATCTGAAGATGAAACAGAAACAGAAACAAAAAATTGGGTATTTTCCCGCCACTTTATTATATAATGGGTTTATGATGGTCTTGTGTGTTTATTTTAAGTTCTATCCTTAATGTAATTTACTACTACGTACTACTGCTTGTTTTCTTGCAATGGTGTCAATTATACCCTTATTCACTCTGTCATGTACATGTATATCTATATCTATATCTATATCTATATCTATATCTATATCTAGATCTATATCTAGATCTGCAGTATTGACTCTCAAAAGAGCACATACATGCATATCCTGTAATCATTACTAATCTGACTTTGCAGCTACGCGCGCAATGAGAAACATGGCCTTTTAGGCCCAGCCTCCCAACTCGAACATTCATTCATGTCTTAAACTCAAATGCACGTGGCTGAGACCAACCAGACTAGTAGTTATTGCTTGGCCTACAGTCATGTACAGACACCGTACTAATGAGGGAAGAAAATAATGAATCGCATATAATTCACGCTAAGTCTATATACCACGCAATGGATAACAAGCAAGACAGCGAGCAAGTAACGACCAGATTTTTGGTTCGGTGATATACAGGTGTATAGCCATATGCTTGATGGAGAAGAAGAAGCGAAGAGACGAAATATCATGTAGGGATGGGTGAAGGGTACGACACGCAGAAGATGGTAAACAGCTAACCCCGCACTTTCCGATAACTGGGTGGACTCCACGATCGCAGGATCAGTTTACCCGCCCAGATTGGAATGAGGGAGACGGCGCAGACGGCGCAGACGCGCCAGAGCCAGTCTACTGTGATGACGTAGTGCAGGTCGAAGTAGCTGCCGAGGAAGGGAACGCTAGCGGCGTAGACGAGAGCCGTGCCGATGATGCAGAAGATCATGATTGGGTGCCAGGTGGTGATGGCGATGGCGACCATGAGGAGCTCGTTGATAACGAGGGAGGTGAAGGAGACGCTGATGAGACGGGGGCCGGTGATGGTGTCGAGGAGGATTTGGGAGAGGCCCTGAATGACGGCGCCTTGGTAGACGGAGACCAGGACCCAGGTGAAGAAAGAGCGGTAGCTGAGGCTGCGGCCGGTTTTGAGCTCCTTGTAGAGTTCGGGGTAGAGGTTGGCGAGCTCTTCGTCGACGTCACGGTCGAAGACGAGCGAGAAGACGGGGGCGTTGGTGTAGACGGTGGCGTAGCCGACCATCAGCCAGTTGATGAAGAGACCCTTGGGGTCGAAGTGACTGGCGATGCTGTACATGGTCTGGCAGGCGCTGATGATGAGACCACGGTGCATGATGAACTGGGC